CCTTTTTGCCGTTTTTGTGCTTTTTAACTGCCCTGTCCCACCCCACCCCCATTCACGTCTCACCACATCTGTCAACAGGCTGCCTTCCTCCTCCTTCCTCACTCTCCCTCCTTTCATATTTCTCCCGTCTTCCTTATTTTCCACCTTTCAAACGCTCGGTCAGAAGGTCCGATGAGAAAATGCTTTGGACCCCCAAGCGGAAGCATCCGGTTGACCAAAGCCCTTCCCCGACATACCAGATGCAGCTGCAATAGCCGAGAAATGATATTTCACGTCTGAGATTTGAAACTATCGCGAATAATGATCCAACGAAGGTCACAAAATGGTATATGTGCCTGAAGTGTTGACGAGGAAGCAAAGCAAGAGAGTCTCCAAGGGCTACTTTTTCTCTCAATTCTTATCGATAACCACGAACTGATGTTTACATACGGGTTCTTGTAATCGCAGACACAGGAAAGGCTATGTATGGTTTGTTTGCACATAATAAGGGCGTTCTAACACGGGGTTCAATTGATTGAGCAAATGAAGACGGTTGAAGTAAATAGAATGTTACCTCATATGGAGCTGCTTGGATTTCCATTTGTTTTGTCCTTCACATGTACCAGTGAGTAGCGACTGTGTTGTATTAAACAAAGCGAAAGCAAAATGAACGTCTGTGGAAATATGTTCTATTTTAGTAAAGCAAAACATTATAATATTTCGTAATAAATGTGTTCTATTTTGAACCCAAAATGTTGACATACCTTTCCTTCAGACCAAGAAGAATGGAAGAGTACGGGTACCTATTCAAAATCATTCTTGTTGGAGGTACAGGCGTCGGAAAAACTAGTCTTGTACAGCGATATACACAGGTGGGCTTTAACTCAGTTCGATGTTTATTTTTATACCTTGTATGTTTTTAGGGTATCTTTCAAGAAAACACACTTGCCACTGTCGGAGTTGATTTTAGAGTCAAATCAGTGTACGTGGATAATGATAACGTTAAGGTATTTATGTTTGTGTTGAATCATTCTGTCAACAATTTCGAAACCCTCCGTTCAGAGAACCAATTTCTGTTGTGGGTGGTCCGATCCCGGGAGACGGGCAAGCGAATCGTAGTTTGCCGCTCCGCCACGCGCGGCGATGGCTGCTGCGTTTTCTTAACCCGTTTTAGCCAGTAGGGGATTTCGCGTCGGTCACAAAACTGTAGACATTCATGACTATTTTCGATTCTACATTGCCTGTTGTCGCCATCTAACACCTGGAACCATCGTCATTTGCGGGCGCGACGTCGCACGCGACGCCCATCAGCGCGGCGACTTACGATTCTCCTGTCACGTACCCTCCGATCTACAATGTCAGAAATTGCTCATTTCACGCTTATCGAGCTGGCTAAGGTCGTCGTAAACCGAAGGAAGGCCATACGTCTAGAAGTTGCTCTACTCGTTTGGGGACGGCAGGCTGTCCTATTCTGTGTTTGAATGTAGGTGTAACCCCTTGCGTACGACGGTACTCTGTGTGAAACCGCCCTTTGTTATCGCGCTTGTCCTCTTGTTCCCTCATCCCGTGTAGCTGGTTGTACCCTAAAGCCCACGAATTGTGGCTATGGGTTGTGTCTTTAGAGATACATTCCGCGATAATATGAAGCGTAGAATCCTTCCTCTTGCACGAGATGGCCGGTTGCGTAGTCGCAGAAGACGCACCCCTTTTGCAGTTCGAAGGTAAACAACAAGGCTACCTTAGATCTGCCTTGATTGTTAGACTCCGCCTAATAAGTCTGCGTCCGCCATTTTTATTTCATTTAACAATTGCTTTAGAGTATGTGGTGCGTTCTCACGTTCGCATCAGGGCTGACCACCGCGTTGTGTATGTGTTTGAGATAGCGTATGCTGTGGCTTAGCAATATAATCTTGCTGCCATCTGTTCCTCTTTTCGCATGCCCAGGAACGGTCAATGCTTGGAACCAACAGGGGTCTCAATTTGTTAGTATGTTTCCAATGATTTCTTGCCTTTACTTGTAGCTCCACTACACTTCTGAACCCCACAACTGCAATTGCGGTTTTGGAATGCGGTTAATCATGGATTTCTTCTTTCTCTATTTCCACTGCTTCGAGAGTAAACCATTCAGACTAACGTCATGAGAGCCATTTTCAGCTACAAATCTGGGACCCCTCTGGTCAAGAGCGTTTCCGCTCGATAGTTCACTTATACTATCGTAATGCACAAGCCGTGGTATTTGTATACGATTTGACACATCAGCGTACATTCGACAGGTTGCCAGATTGGATGGATGAGATTGAAAGGCACTGCAGTGGAAGAGTTTTGAAAATTTTGGTAGGTAAGTTTCGTTTTCCCAATCTGAATACTTTTCCGAAGTAATGACGTTGCAGTAAGAACTGGGCTCAGGAGCTGTGATGTGGCGTGAAAGTATTTTGCTATGTTGATGGCTACAGGAGTTTTTATAGTTTCTTTTCGCACTCTTGTACTCCTCTCATCCTTATTGCCAGTCGTCCTGGCCTATGACGTTGTAGTTGTTTAAATTGCTAAGGGAAAAGAGGCGTGTTGACTAATCCAATACAACTCAAACAAGTTCTTTGATTGGCTGTGGATCTTTTTGAACCCTACTAATCGACAATCATTAGGTGGATGTTGCACCTACCACTTCTGCGTGAAAAGCATGGCGCATCCGGATGTGTGGCCAGTCGGCGCAGCAAACCAGTTCCTGCTTTTTTTCTTCGGAAAGATGCGTTCTAGATACTTGAATTTTTGAGTGACACTGCTTGCAATGGGACAGTAGGAAACTATTTCAAAAGGCATCTCGAAATTTCCCGAGAAAATCTCTATCGCTCATCTTGTTTACGCCTTTTCACTTACTTATAGATCAAGCGTGCCATATCTTAAGAATCAATTTCTCTTATATCCTTTTACGCTTGTTGTGTGGTATTACAGAAAGTTTGGGATGATATCTTTCAGGAAACAAAACTGACAAGATACATGAACGTGAAGTTCCAATGATTGCTGCTCGAGATTTCGCCGTAGCCAACCATTTCGATTACTTCGTAGAGACCTCAGCGTTGGATGCTACGAATGTGGATCTTCTCTTCAAGCAAGTGGCTCGACAGTTGCGAGATGGCCTGAAGACGCCGTTTTTCAGGTATGCTGTTTTGTAAATTTAATGAAAATGTTGTTTTCAGTAGAATCTGAAAGTGTCAGTTGCTCAAAAATTAATATTACGAACACCTGTGGTGAGCGCGACCGGCTGGTAATAATAGTAGTTAACATTTTCAGAGACTCATCTTTCATTCTTCGTCCTTATTCAGATCAATTCTTTAACCAGAAATGCGTTGATATTGAGGGGAGGGAGCTTTATGAGTGCGAGATAAATCGTACTTGGCTGTGGGTGGACGGCTGAAGGCCGTCCTCGGAGGTTAGTGCTCTGTTGGTCTTTTGCTACCTTGAAGTTTCTTTCACATTC